AATTTGAACCGGATTGATCTGGAAGATGTATGGCTTTTGTATAATTTACAAATGTCAAATTTTTGTGTAGTCTGATCTGTTGAAGCATAGTCGAGTCTGATCTGGTCTAATCTAATCTGATTTGGGATTGAAATAAATTCAAGTAAAAAACATCTTAATTTAATTTAAGTATTACTTAATGCGACGTTTATAAAATTATAATATCCCAAATTTAGTTCAAGATCAGATCAGAATAACACAAAATAAATCAGACATAAACAAACTAGATCAGACCAGACTTGAACATTTGTAAGATACACATAGACTAGACATCTATTGGACCAAATCAGATTAGACAAAATTTAAATTTATCAGACCAGACTAGACTACTCAAATCAGACCAGGAAATTTCAATCAAACTAAAAATATCCTTAACGAGTTCAACATTTTACATAAAATAATGGATTGAGTATTAGTTAAAATGTTAAAACGTAAAAGTATAATTCAAGGCAACACTTAATTGATTTTCATGTAAATATCTATGAGTATTGAATTAGTTACCGCAACATTGGCAACATTTTAGAAACAAATGTTACATAAAAGTCAACCATATGCAATACTTACCGTTAGGTGTTGCATATTTCTATATTACGCAACAGTTATAAATAAGGGTTGCATAATTCTATCTCAAAATGTTATATGTAACAACAAAATAAGTGTTACAAACTAAAGTGTTACAAAATGTCTATTTTGTTGTAGTGATTGTTTTTTGTTAAGGCATCTAACAGTTTAACATGAATAACCTTAATGTCTTATTTTAATATATCATTTTCATATCTCAAGAGAACATGATGATTTTGGACTCTTTGGAAGTCTTGTAACAAAGACTCCGGTGTAATGTTTGATGATCCAGAATCACTAGAGCTATAGGAAGAGCAAGAAGTTACCTCAACATCATTGAAGTGGTCATTTTCCATGAAACATCTGGGTGAGCAGCTTTCCTCACTTTCACTTGTGGAGAATTCATTGAGCTGCCTGCTGCTTTCTCCAGAGAGCCATCTGCTGCTATTTCCAGCAACCTGCCAAGCACCTAGGCAAAGTAGCGCTTCTTCAGAGCTCTCAGATGAAGAACTTTCATCACTTGAGTTACTCTCTTCATCAGTTTAGGATTCTACCTTCTTCTTCTCACTTACAAAGGGTTGTCTCTTGCCCTTGAAGTCCTTCTTGTATCCAGCTTTTTGAACAGTTACCTGCTGTCCTTGGAACTTCTGTGCCAATGGAAGAGGGCACTCAATTTTGTAATGTCCTTGTTGTCTACAGTTGTAGCATAGGACAATGTCCTCACTGGATTGAGGTCTCCATTGTCTCATGGAGGGCAGATTGTGCGGCTTCTTTGGGGCAGGTGCCTCCTTTTTCATGAATCTTTTGAACTTCCTCACAAACATTGCAAATTGTTCGTGAGTGAGGAGGTTGTTGATGGATTTCTCAGTAGATCTTGATGTGCTTGGCTCAGACACTAAAGCTAGTGTCTTGGATTCTTCTTCCTTTTCTTCTTTGATTTCCTTCATCTCAAACTCATAAGCTTTAAGATCACTGAAGAACTTATCAGTTGAAAGACTTCTGAGATCTCTACTATCTCTCATAGCAGTGACCTTCATATCCCACTTTGAAGGCAGGCCTCTCAAAACCTTAAGGGAAATCTCTTTTTGAGATAGTTCTTTCCCTAGATCAGAGACCTCTGCCACAATCTGTAGGAATCTAGATTCCATCTCATGAATTGATTCATTGGACAACATTCTAAAGTCCTCAAACTTCTTGAGGGCAATGGTAAGTTTGTTATCCTTCTCTTGTTCATCATTTGCACCTATCTTTGTTAATTCATCACATACATCCTTTGCAGCTTCATATTTCCTTATTCTAGGAAATATGGATTCATCTACAGATATAAAGAGAATATGGATTCATCTACAGATTTAAAGAGTATATCTTTGGCAATGTTGTCAAGATTATTTCTCTTCATGCATGTCTCCAGTTGTCCATTCCAACTTGGATTTTGAAATGTAGACATCATCTGGTGCTTCTGCTGATTTGGATGTACTGACCTTCATTATCTTGATGGGTCCAACCGTAATTACTTCCATCATTTCATCATGTAAAGCACTGAGATGTGCTTTCATTCTGATTTTCCAGTCATCAAACTTATTCAAGTTAAACGGGAGTTTTTTAGATAATTGACTATCCATTTTGAAAGAAAGTTTTGTGGGAAGTGAGGTGGGTTGGATCTTTAGTTCAAATTAGTCAGAAACTGACTCTAAGAACACTCCGCTCTGATACCACTTGATGGTCCCAGATAGAGGTAAAAGTCTAGAGGGGGTGAATAGACTTTTAAAGCTTTCTCAACTTCACAAACTTTTCCCCACTAGATGAGTTGATCTATGATCTTTTGGAAGATTATAGATGCACAACGGAAGTCTTAACCTCTATGGGTGTGAACTTTCTATCTTTGGGTAAAGATTGGCCTTAAACAGTGAGCAGGTTGCTTAGCAGTTGGTTCGGCAGTTGGGTGAAAATCAGGGAACTGCTTGGGCAACTGCTGATGAAATATACAGCTTATGATGAAATTAATCATGGATTCTTGCTCAGGATAATGAGGGCAATCTGGAGATGTATAGGGCTTCGTGGGAAGTGGGAGTTTATGAGAGTAGTGGTTTGAGCAGTTGGGTGGTTGCCAGGGAACTGCTCAGGCAACTGCTTGATAAAACATGAGAATATGAGAGGGCTGATTGCAGAATCTCATCTAGAATGATATGAGCTTTCTGGAAATGTGCACAACTGAGTTTAAGTGGAAGTTTATGGGAGCAGTGGCTTGAGCAGTTGGGTGATTGTCAGGGAACTGCTGAGGTACCTGCTGAGTTATGATTCCCAGAACTGGATGAACACACGTCTTTGTAGTGATTTTGTAAAAGTACTGCAATGCAAAGATGTCTCAAAGAAAGTATGTAATTAAGCAGTAGGCTGAGCAGTGGCGTCAGATGAGGCTACTGCTGAGGATACTGCTGGCAGACTACTTTCTTTAATGAGAAGTGTTGGATGTGTGCTCCGTTGACTAAAAGTAAATCAACACACAGTATATCTTGGTTCAAAGGTGGTGTAATCCTCCTACGTCTAGTCCCACCCTCTTTCAGATGGATTTCCACTAAAGTATTAAGCTCAATACACTTAGTGCCCAATCTTGCCTTTACAACTCAAATGGCATAGATTGAAAGATGTTTCACAAGGAGTACACACCACTCCAAGTTACTCAATCCTTAGGTTTTTCTCCATTGATCCAGTGGGAATCAAAAGGTACTCTATCCTATATAACTACACTTAGGATTAGAACAATTGTTCTCCTGAGTGTTTGCAACAATATATTTTGTGATTTGTTTCAAGAAATTTCTAACCTCTAACTAGGAACTAAACTTCCAGAAAATAGCAATGATGATTTGTAACTTGGAAGTTTAGTGAAGCATGAGTCAAAGCAGAGAGTAAAGTTAAACCGACACTTTCTCTTTTACTAGATATATCTTAAATGCTCGGTGGGAGTTTTCCTCTACTTCAGATGCTCAAAGCTTGGTTAGAAACTCTTGTTTCGGCTTATATTTATAGGCTTCTCGTGTTGATTAATCTCATACATTGGTTAGGATGATTTAATCTTTGACGTTGAACGTGTTGTATTTTTGTCTTCATGTGCTGGAGTCGATCTTGGTGATTTCCTTTGTCTTTCACTGATTAGACGCTGAGAGATCATATCAAGATCAATTTAATTGTGTGTGTCCCATGCTGTAAGTCCATGTACGTTTCAACATTAATTAATTGTCAAATTTTGTCTCCAATCATACACATGCAATGTATATGATATTTGTACCTAATGTGACTTTTATTTTTGTGACAATAATAATTTTTGTGTTAAATAAAATATAAAGCGGTAGGAGTTTAAATACCCTATTAAGGTAAATAAAAATTACCTTATTACATTTTAAATTTCCAGTATAATTTTATTAGCAACAAAAATTGTACATTTGATTATTGTCACGAAGGATTAATTTTTGTTTCCTAAAGTTGATTTTGTACTTTGTTTTTTTCTTTTCTTGAACAACTTTGGACCCGGTCACTCTATAAATAAATTAGACAAACATGTAATTCGTACAAGATAACAAGAGTGAAGTACAGTACATGCACGGGTAGCTCAGTTGGTTCAGTGGTGAGAAATTTGGACCAAGTGACCAAGGTTCGAAACCCGCAGCGACCGTGTGGAGGTCACAGAACCTGAAATAAGGCTGGGCCTCTGGTGCGCACGGGAAAAAGGTCTACCATCATTGGGCCGACTGAGTCACCGTGATTAACATCCTCCCAAAAATCCTATCGGGTCGGGGTATGGGAGACTCCTAAGGTGGGAGATTCCAACTTTTGTACCAAGAGTGAAGTATAGTGACATCTACCAACACCTTTTATCTTCTTCCGTGAATGCTTTGATATCATTTCTAAAAGATTCATCTCTGAATTGTACTCCCTCCGTCCCAGAATTATCTTCATACTTTCCATTTCAGTCTGTTCTAAATTTATCACCTCTTTCCCTTTTTAGTAAAGAATTTGCGGTTCACAAACATTCTTATACATTTCTCTTTCCTCTACACAACTCTTCACCATACGTTTCCCACTATCTTAATATGTGTGCAAAAGATAAATATGGGACTAGGGAGTACGTACAAGGAAGTACTACGTATCTGAAGATTCTCCTTACCCCTTCTTCTGCCTCTCCGCGATTCCGCCCCAATACACTGCCATTTGTCCGTCTGCCAGTCGCCCCCGGCAAGGCGGCAATCTCTAGCAGCAAAGTCGTTTGAATGATTGAGTACACGCTGGACCCAAAGGTCATTGTGTACACGCTTAGGACACATACAAATGACATCCGGAATACTCTCTGTATATATATTCAGTGGCCATTCCAGTGAGCCAATACGCTCTGAGTTTTTTTGCGGCAGAGAAGTGCTTCCATGGCTCCACCATCGATCTTCGTCTTCCTGGTTTTAGCTCTGGTTGCCTCTGTCTGCGGATCTAACACCTTGTCCGATTATAATCCGATCAGGCAAGTCGTGTCGGACCGGTTGATCGAGCTGGAGAGCTCGATTGTCTCAGTCATAGGCTCCACGCGTGACGCACTCTCTTTCGCTCGCTTCGCTCACAGGTTCGGATTTCAGAATTCACTTTTTGTCTATTAGAATAGAAATTTATGGTCAGAGCTAGTTTACTGTTTACTTATGATACTTTTTATTTTTACTGCGCATCACTCCGTGCAGGTACGAGAAGATATATGAGAGTACTGAGGAGATCAATCAGCGTTTTGGTGTGTTTAAGGAGAATTTGAGGACGATCAGATCTCATAACACGAAAAGACATCTATATAAGCTTGGTGTTAATGGTATTTGCAGCTTTTTTGCTAAAGAGTAAAGACATTCAAAAGTAAAACTGGAAATTTTGTACTAGTATTAATCTCCGACATTGCCAATTTGGTGTGAGATGTGAAATAAGAAACATATGAAAACAGGGAGTAAAATGTATCGAAATGAATACTGAGAATCAATCAATTTTTTATTAAAAAATTTGCAAATTGCAATTAGCATTGTGGGAGGATGCAAATTGCAAATTAGCATGGACAAAATGGCCATTTGGTAACAATGAAACTTACTAAATCAGCTAAGTCTATTGAGATTAGTGAAATTCTGAGTGTACTGTCTGAATATGTTGGCTTTTGAAAAATATTTTTAACTTAGATAGTGTAGTATGTTTTGTCTTATTTATATAATAAATAAAAAATTATATGAAAAGTAGCCAAAATAGACATCTTCATCAATTTTAATTAATTCTACCATAAAAGTAACTTCAACCTTACTTATTTTGATTATTACAAAATTCAACTCGTGAACTCTTGTGTTTGGTAAATGGTGCCTCTTGTATCATAATATTTTCTAAATACTTTATAAATTATAAATAGGTGTACTGAAATAATTAGACTTAGATTTTCCCCATAACCAAAAAATATATGTAGTATGCATTTGCTACTGTTTTAAAAATAATTTGACCGTCCCAGGACTTGTATTGGAGTCATGATGCATACATGAGACATGCATACCTATCCTATTCCATTTAAAGTTGATTTATTGGCTACTAACCATCTTTTTCAGGACTAGATAAAGAAAAAAGAAAAACATAAAAGACATAAAGAGCAAGAATTAAAAATAAGAAATAATTACATAAATATGACCAAAATATAGATGGTTTACAAAAATATGACTAGTTACTAGAGTAGTAATGAAATCATAGTAATTCATGTTCAAGTTTTGAACTTAAGTTACCACAACACTACATTGTAGTAATGAATAGTCATATTTATGTAAATAAGTTTTATTTTAGTAATATTCTTGTAAAAAACCCTAAAAATAATACTCCCTAGCATCTTTGTTGTTTGATTGCATTCCCAGTAAGAATTAAACAAGATTTTAAGTTTATGAACTAATTCATGGGACTTTTTTGTTTTCGTTTCTGACAGAATTTGCTGATATGACATGGGATGAGTTTCGTCAACACAGACTGGGAGCTGCTCAAAACTGCTCTGCTACCTTAAAAGGCAATCTCAAGATCACAAGCGCCGCCATCGTCCCAGAGACGGTATTCTCAAGCTAACCTTTTGTTGTGGTTGTTGTTTCATTACTATTCTGATTTCAATAAACCGTCACAAAATCCACACTTAACCAGTATCATAGCTGGTGAGATTAATGTATCATAACCGTCATGAAAAGTTGTCATGGATCATGTAGCGAGTACTATTGTAACTTACGAACTTTCTCTCCATTACAAAAGATACCTACTGGAAATTTGCTTTTCTGTTAAAAAAAGTATGCAAGCGTTGAGTCTGTAGCTGTTGGTAAGCTTCACTAGTTATGAAGGAACAACTCACACTGAAGCAATATTTGAAAGAGTTGATGCCTAACATACATTTCAAAAGTTCTTTGCTATTCATTTTGACGTGGATTGTTTTCTATTGTTTAGAAAGACTGGAGGGAAGATGGCATAATTACTCCTGTGAAGAATCAAGGCAGTTGTGGATCTTGTTGGACTTTTAGGTGAAAATTTGAGTTTGCAATGTAACATTTTTCTTAAAATTTCAAGTAATTTGACTTACAATTAAATGCATTGCTGGGGTTAGTACTCATGGCCTTAAAATTTCATGGGTTGTAACAGCACTACTGGAGCCTTAGAAGCAGCTTATGCTCAAGCATTCGGGAAGAATATTTCCCTATCCGAGCAGCAACTTGTGGATTGTGCTGGAGCTTTTAACAATTTTGGTTGCCATGGTGGGTTGCCATCACAAGCCTTTGAGTATATCAAATACAATGGTGGGCTTGATACAGCGGAAGCATATCCATACACTGGAAAAGATGCTGCATGCAATTTCTCTTCAGACAATGTCGGTGTACAAGTCTTTGACTCTGTTAATATCACCTTGGTAAGATGATATACCCTTCTTGCTATATTTTTTTACAACTTTTATCCCATGACTGGTTGGTATGTATCCTTATTCACTACCAAATATGTTGCAGGGTGCTGAAGATGAGCTAAAATATGCAGTTGGACTAGTTAGACCAGTTAGCATTGCGTATGAGGTGGTGCCTGATTTCATGTTGTATAAAGGTGGTGTTTACACAAGCACCGTTTGTGGGAAAGATCCCAATGTAAGTTTTTTTATCCTCTAAACGAAATTGAGCAGCTAGGAATATGAGATTCCTTGTAGACAGTTTTGGTGATGGGTTTTTTGTTCAGGGTATGTTTTGGTGGTGAATTGGGGGGAGAGAGAGTTAGTTTTTCATTTTCAAATTAATTTTGAAGAATTATATGTGGTTTATGATATGAAGTTTGTACTGATTTATGATCTTTTATCTGTGATGTCCATTTCGGTAGGATGTGAACCATGCTGTTCTGGCAGTGGGCTATGGAGTGGAAAATGGAACTCCTTATTGGCTCATTAAGAACTCATGGGGAGAACGCTGGGGTGACAATGGGTACTTCGAAATGGAGATGGGAAAGAACATGTGTGGTAAGTAAGAGCTGGAGGAAGATGTGTCACACATTCATCCTGTCTCTGTTGAAATTTGCATTTGTTGCAGCCATGCCTAATTTGCATGCGTCTTTATTGCAGGTATTGCAACTTGTGCTTCGTACCCTATCGTTGCTTGAGTGATTGTTACCCTTGCGATTTGTGTAGCTCTTTGGATGGCATGAGAATGCGATCTATGTTGAACGTGTCAATCTCATTAATGTGTAATATATACTTCTTCAACTTGTGTATATCTATACCAAAGAAAATGATTGACCTACTAGGTGATTTAGTGTAAGGCATATCAGCATATGGACAACATTCTTGTAAATTCTCTTCTAACATGCCCTAATTTATGTTGTGGGAATGTGTTCTTGTTTGGTTGATACTACGTAAACTGTATATTAGTTCTATGCTCTACTCGGGCACCTAGATTGACTGTAAACTGTATTAGGTGATGTGTTTGTTGGACGGCAGAAAAGAAAGTGTGGGAGCATTTTCTCAAAACTAATGATGAATATATTGTTCCGTCATATTCACAGGAGGTGGAAATAAACAAACATGTTACGGGAATAGCTAACCGGCAAGGCAAAATAATGGGATTGTTTATATTCGTATATACAAATCATATTTACGTACTAAAGTAAATCATATTTATATAATACAAATATGACTATTCATTACTACAATGTGGTGTTGTGGTAACTTAAGCTCAAAACTTGAACATGAATTACTATGATTTTATTACTAATGCAGTCACTAATCATATTTTTGTAAATCATCTTTATTTTGGTCATATTTCTTTAGCTTACTAAAAATAGCTTAAACATATTATTTCCCCCTATTGCAAAACGGGGCATCCCTGATTGCAGTTAATTATTAAGTGACATAATAACGGGTGCAAATTGAGTTGAACGGATGCAATGATGAGTTGGGATATACTTAGGTCCCCTAGCTTCGCCCATGATTAGTGTTGTGCAATATATTCCATATATAAAATTAAAAGTGAAGGTCTTTCCACTTTTCACATACAAGTTACTGTTTATTTTAAACACAACATATTTAGAACTTTCAGTAGAGACACAATCTTTTATTCATAAAAGGATAAACGATTTTTTTAAACAATTACGGATATTACATTATTACGTACTCGGAAGAGAGGATAAATATAACATACGGAGTACATAATAGTCATCATAATTATTTATGAATAATATAAAAAGAAATTATTACAAATGGGACTAAAACATGGTTAAAACTAAAAAATAGGACTTGAAGTTTTAAATTGCTTAAATGGGACTCCAGATTACAATTTTGCCCTTCTACAATTAAAATCCACATCCCCCTTCAATTCATCGAAACCCTCTCCTGCAGTGCATCGATCCCCCCTTCTGCAATTCATCGATCCCTCTACCCCTTCTGCAATTCATCTATCGCTCTCCCCTTTCGCACATCCCTTCCTCTCATGGAAAGCAACTTCGCCATCGCTATTGCCACGCACCGCAGCTCCGTCATCGACCATAGGTATCCTCCCTCCTTTCTCCTCCTCCTCCTCCTCCTCCTCCTCTATTCCATCTCAAATTTTTGGTCCTATGTTCTCTTCTTCTTTAGATTTTTTGGATTTGAATTTTATTTATTAATTTAGATTTTTTGGATTTAAGTTGTATTTATTAAGTACATAAAATGCCACTCGTATAATTTGAGAATGTCAAAATTGTTGGTTATTTGAAGAAAAAAATGTCATGTTTGTGGCATTACATTTACTTCTTTGAAACTATCATGAAAGTGATTGTACAAACCTCCATGAGGAATGCCACTTCATATGCGAGAATGTCACTTAATATGCATAATGACACAATAATGACAATTTTGTATAGAAATATGACATTCTCAATATGATATTTTCAAATATTGTAATGACATAAATGTGACATTTTTTAAATATACCTAATGATTATGACATTCTCTCTTTCAAAAGTAACATTTTCTGGAAACATCAGTCAAGGCATTTTGAGAATCAGAGTAATCAAAATTGATAACAAGAAATTCAAGTGTAGATATAACTTCATTTGAAACTTTCAAAAATCAAAAAATTAGAAAAAATCTGATTGATAAAATAAAAAAAGCAGAGAACTAGGAAGAAGAAGAAGAAAAAGAAGAAGAAGAAGAAGAAGAAGAGATTACCTACCTGGTCGCCGATGAGTGCAGGGTTGGTAGCCGATGATGCAGGCTACAACACATGGCGCTGCGGTGCTCTGAAGGTATCGATGGAGGTTGATGTGCATCGCTGGTGTGCATCGCTGGTGTGCATCGCTTTTTAACTAAGGGTAGTTTTGTCAGATTACCTCTTTTTAGTCCTATTTTTGTTAAATAAAATATAGTAGTCCTATTTTTGCAATTCTACCTTGATTTAGTCCTATTTAGGTGAATCTCTCTAATATAAAATTATAAAATTGTACTAATTGTTATCGTCTTTAGCAAATAAGAATATTCAAAGACCATCGAATGTCTATTTGGTCATTTCTTTTAATTAATGGCATTGCTAACCATTATCATATATATGTATTGCTTATACAATTTTATATCATGTTTTCAATTTTATACATTAAGTAGATAAGATTTACTTATTAGACTAATTGTTTTCATTAAAAAATTAAAAAGATATGGTGGAAAATAAAATATCCATTTATCTGGAGTCAAAAGAAGTGATAAGTTATTGTCATAAAGAAACATTTAATAACTCCATAATTAATTAAGATAAAAGATTATGTAAAAATCTAATGAATTATAACAATTTTTTTGAAAGGAAAAGAGTTATATTAAATTCACCGAATCAAAAATCCCAACACAACAATAGACCAAGTTTCCCCTCTAGATTCCATATAGCCAATAGGCCCCCTCACTAACCGATCAGACATAGAATAGATCACCCAAAATTGAGTGAAACTAATCATTGAACATGTGAAAGTTTCGAAGCTATTATTGGCCAGATTAGTCTGATTACTTTCACTCAATCTCACAACAAAAAGCACCCACGACTTTGAATTATTAACCAAATAACAGAAATGACAAAAAATAAAACTTGAATGAAAGATAGAGCACAAGAGCGCAGGTGACCAAGTCCCCCCCCCCCCTCAAAACGTCGACCTCCGATCTCTGGCTCCTCGTTCGTTGCAAGGTGATGGTTCAAGAGGGGGGCAGGCCGTCAATACTTCATTTTGCATGTTCATCTCGTCATCCCTTCTTGTCTCTTGCAACGCTGTTCATCATGAGGAACATATATACCTTTGTTTCTGCCGGTCAATGTTTGCATCTCACTCGTTGTGTTGCTCTCCATCTCCACGATGGTCTTTCGCTGAAAAAGCTAAACAAAACTCAGACGCCAACAACTTTGCGCGGCTCCAAACCCTAGCTGACGACCAAGCGCGACTCCAAAACTCTAACACATGAAGGTCTTCTCTTCCGCTTTCTTATAATAATAAATAAAATTTTCAAATAAAATATTTACAAAAAGAGAATAAAGACAATAAGTATAAATAAAATAATTAAAAAACATTAACAACATAAAATATTCAGAATTAATTTAGAGATCTAACGAAATGGAGTTAGACAAATGAAATGTTCAAATTTAAAGTAAAAAATGCAGAAGATTTATATTCTGTTTCTTCCTTTTCTTATCTATATTCTTTTGATTTATCAGAATAACTAATAAAGCGATTGAAAAGGTAATTTTTGTATTGAGATTTGAGTAAAATAAATTTAATGAGGTGGATGTAGAAAAAACCGGGCCCACAACGACCCACCTCTGTCCTGAAACATTTGGGGCAAGTCAGTCCCGCCTCGTCTTGCAAATGGGGCGGGTCCGCCCTGCCCCGTCTTGCAAGTGGGACGGGTCCATCCCGTTCCGTCCCGTGCACACAATGGATCAGGTCCAAGTATTAATATTGACACATGTCGATTCGCCCCCGCACCGTTCAATTTATAAGTACACATAATTTGTTTTAAATTGTACTACAAATATATACATATACATGTATAACACTAGTAAATCATAAATTTCTTGGTCATGTACTCCCTCCGTTCCCAAAAATACTTCCCACTTTACTTTTTGGGCTGTTCCCAAAAATACTTCCCACTTTCCCATTTTGGACAATTTGTGTGGCTCACATTCATTTTACCTTTTTCTTACACAACCACAATAATACATTTCCACTTTATTCCACTTTCTTAATAAGCGTGCCAAGTCAAACCGGGAAGAATTTTTAGGAACGGAGAGAGTAATATATTACTACGCGATATTTGTATTTGAGCTAGATGAACCATTAATTGTCGGTGTTCTTTAGTAATTAGCATTTTACTCATTCCATTCCAAAATTAAGTTATGTTTTTGCCCTATCCGCCCGTCTGACTCATGTGTATCCCATATGGGAGAAAAAAAATGATTTCATTTATTATGGGTGAAACCCCACCTATATATGGGTCTAGCAATTGGGGTTAGAATCTAGTGTCATGTTGCGTCTAAAATCGAACTTAGACACCAATCATTGTTGATTACTCTAATAAATATTCTTCTTCGGTTGCTATATGCGAGTAGGCCTGACTTATTGTTTCTAATATAGAACCATATCCATGGCCGGAGCTTCGATCTTCGTCTTCCTGGTTTTAGCTGTCATCGCTTCCGTCTCCGGGACGAATACCTTCTCTGATGATAATCCAATCAGGCAAGTCGTATTGGACGGATTGCACGAGCTAGAAAGCCCGATTGTCTCAATCATCGGCTCCACGCGTCACGCTCTCTCCTTTGCTCGCTTTGCTCACAGGTTTGGATTTCGGGACTTCTCTAGTCTCTGTATGTATGTATGTATGTATAGTAAAATTCAAGTATGAAGGTTAAGTTTACTTGCCGTTTACATCCTCAAAAGTTTGCTCCAACTAGAAACGAATTAATTGCTAGCGTTGATTTGAAAGTTTATCCGCGCATCACTTTGTGCAGGTATGGGAAGAGATATGAGAGTGCTGAGGAGATCATTCAGCGTTTTGGTGTCTTTAAGGAGAGTTTGAGGACAATTAGATCTCATAACAAAAAAGGACTTCCATACAAGCTTGGAGTTAATGGTATTTGTCCTTTTTGCTAAAAAAAAATATATTCAGCATGTGCAAATAGAGAGGAATCCAGTTCATAGGATGTGTTGACTTATTCCAGTCCCAGTTTAGATTAGTCTTAAAATACCGGATCATATCAAACTTAAACAACCAAAATTAGATTAGGTTGTTATAAAATATACAAAGATTAGACATTTATCATACCTGTTAAGAACACTTCAGACCAAGCCAGATTTAACTAGACCAGATCAGACCAAAATAGAAAATTTAAGTCCAATTAAAAACATTCATAGTTGCGACTTGCGTGTAATTTCGGCCACTCTAAATATCTTTATGAACTAGCACAAGTTCTAGGCTATGTTTGGCAAGCAGTCTCTCCCTTTTAGATTTTGTACTGTTCAAAAAATCTCTAAAAGCTCTTCTAGTTATATGCTTGGCATGACAATTTTTAAGAGTTTTTCAAAAATTAAAAGATCTTTTTTGAGATGCTACATGGAGTAGCATCTGAAAAAAACTTGTGACTTTCAGTATTAATCAGTGATGGAGTATATGGTCCAGGAACCCCCGGCTCACATACTTCCACTACTACAATCAGGCCCAACAAGTCCAAATGGGCCAAGCCCAGCGAACAGGACTCCAGACATCTCATAATACACAATGTCTGCCTTCGGCCCCATGCCCGAAGGCTTTGCATTCATGAAACCAAGTCAATAAACGTCACAGGAGAACAAGGCTTGAAAACCAAGCCTTCGGCACATGCACCCTCCGGCACATAATGCCCCCGGTATGTGGAGCCCTCGGCACATACAGCCGAAGGCGCTCTACTCGACAAGATTTGCTCTCCCACATGCGCTGAATCACCGCGTCAAGTATAACGTCACATCTAACCACCGCATTTAATGCGGTGCACATGCGAATGCCGGTGTCACCTCGAGTGAGGAGACCCTCGGCCGTCAGATGCTTGACATGTGTCCTTGTCTAGCATTTATGGCTGCTATAAATAGCAATCACTTTCCATTGTAATCAACACAACTTTCTATATTGAATACACACTCTCCCTCTCTTACTTATTGCTCTTACTTCTCTCTAGGTTATTCCCCGCAATAACCCCTCGGATAAGCTACACCGGGTACACTATCCATCAATTAGTCCTAACAGCTTGTATACCAAACCGAACTAAATCAAACAGTTAGTTTTTTACCAAACAGCTACCGTATTTTCTTTTAAAATCTTTTCAGTCACTAAAAGCTAACGGTTATTAAAAAGCTCACAAAAGTATCTTTTCAGCTAGTTCTGCAAACGTACCCCTAATTTATAAGTTCAAATTTTACTGGGAAATACTTCAACACCCATTCACCCCTCACTAGCAAACACGTTGTACGGATCATGACATTTTTTCATTTATTTTTTCATCCATTCGTTAGAAACATTGTTATTTTTCATAGGGCCCACACTTTGGTACCATTAAAATTCGGGGTTAAAATTTGGTGAGCCCCCCATTCATTTTTGTATTAGAGTTATTTTTCATAGGGCCCACACTGGTACCATTTTTTTCCCCATTCATTTTTGTGGCTCTATTAGAAGAAAGTCTCTTTTAAATGGGTTGGACAACGGCTTGAGGAAACATGATAAAATGGAAAAACACTAAAAAGAATGAAAACTATCTAGAAAAAGTATTGCCCCTATTGTTAGGGGTGTTTGGAACTGATTCTGATTATGTTTCTTTTTTAAAGCAGAAGCAGAATCTGAATCAGTTTTAAGAAGTTGGTCACCCCAGCTTCTAAAAAAACTGATTCTATGAGTAAAGTAGAGCACCAGAATCACTTCTGCACTTTTACCTAAACACTCCAACTTCTGCTTCTGCTCCCTGAAGGAGCAGAAGCAGTTTTAAGAATCAAATCCAAACACGCCTTAATACACCTATTCTAGGCACGTATTATTATTTTAATTAAGTCAATATTCTACGGAGTAGTATTAAGGAGGTAGTTTCCTACCATAATTGTTTTTTCTCCTTTAGCATAGAAGTGCCGGCTCTCGGCCATACTATTTATTTGCTGTACTCCTACGAATATGAATAACAGAGAATTTATTCTTATTCCTTTGTGTATCAAATATCATCTTTCATATAAAATTATCAAAAAGAAAATAAATTTGATTGATAAGGTGACGCTCTTTTGGGAAGATTGGCGAAAAGACAATTTTCCCATAAACAAGGAAAAACAGGGTGGTGGCACTCTTTTTTTGAAGACCGGGAAAGGTGAGATGATTGATATGAACTTTTTCATAGAAAATGGGACTGCCCATGTTGGTTGGGAAGGAGAGTAGAAATTGTCGCTACCAGGCTAACTGCCTTGTCAACCAGAGTTTAAAACAATACTTGTATTACGTAGTAAAGTAGCTGTTTAATCGCAATCCTAGTAAGAAATAAACAAGATTCTTACATTTCAAACTGATTCAGTTGAATCCTTTGGTTTTGTATTTAACAGAGTTTGCTGACATGACATGGGATGAGTTCCTTAAACATAAACTAGGAGCTTCTCAAAACTGCTCTGCTACCTTAAAAGGCAATCTTAAGATCTCAAAAGCCATCGTCCCAGAGATGGTATGCTCAATCAAATTGTTATTATTATTGTTCTTATGATTATTACTATTGTGTTTGTTATTGTTATGAAATCCATTATTAGTTTTCACGCGCCAAGCCTCCAATTCAAAATATAGTGCATGGACAAAATAATACTCGTAACAAAAATAAGTGTTAAGAAATCAGGACAATGAAGAGGGAAACATAATTGGCCTCGACTAACAAATCGGCTTCTTTTTCATGAGAACCACAAGCTGTCATAGATGAAAAGCTGCTGTGGCTCTTGTAGCCAATAGTATTCTAATTTTCTCTCCTTTCCAAAAGAAACCTACTGTCTACTGGAAGTTTGCTTCTCTATTTAAACCAAAAGTCATGCAAGGAAAAGGAACTCACTGTAGAAAGGTTTCAAGGAATTGATGCCTAATGTGCACTATAGAACTTATTTGCTATTCTTTGTTGACATGGTTTATTTTATCTGCTTTCTATTCTCAAGAAAGACTGGAGGGAAGCTGGCATAGTTAGCCCGGTGAAGAATCAAGGCGGTTGTGGATCTTGTTGGACTTTTAGGTGAGAATTGTGTTTGGAAAATAATCTATGACTTTAGCTTAAAACTCCAAAAGTGTTTGGACTCCAAATTATTTGCATTGTTGGGGTTGAGACTTGAGAACTCATGGTCTTAAAATTTAATGTGCTGTAACAGCACCACTGGAGCTCTAGAAGCAGCTTATGCACAAGCATTCGGGAAGAATATTTCCCTGTCAGAGCAGCAGCTTGTTGACTGTGCTGGAGCTTTTAACAATTTTGGTTGCAATGGCGGTTTGCCATCACAAGCCTTTGAGTATATCAAATTCAATGGTGGTCTTGACACAGAGGAAGCATATCCGTACACCGGAGAAGATGCCGTATGCAAGTTCTCTTCAAACGATGTTGGTGTGAAAGTCATTGACTCAGTTAATATCACCTTGGTAAGATGATATCCTTCTGTTTTATTCTGTATTTTTTTTCAATAATTTTTTCTGCTTGCTTTTTCTTGGCTACTTCTTTTCTCTCATGCTAACCCTATGGTTTGTACTTTCATTCACTTTGTAATATGTTGCAGGGTGCCGAAGATGAACTAAAATATGCAGTTGGGCTAGTACGGCCGGTTAGCATTGCATATGAGGTTGTGTCTGGTTTCAAATTATATGAGAGCGGAATTTACACAAGCACCGTTTGTGGGAGGAATCCCATGGTAAGTTTTTTTAAAACTCAGACGTACCCAAGGGTTTGCCAGAAGGAATACACGATGAATTTGGCCTATTCATACAATTTAACTAGCAAAATCTATCTAAAATATCGAGGATATTCTACTCAAAAGTAAAGTTCGGGATTAGATGTATGCAGACCTTATCTCTATCCTTAGAATAGAGCAGCTACTTCTGGGAAGGCTATTGGTAAATAGCACTGTGAAGTGTGAACAATGTCAGTTGAAAATGATATCTACAAAATAAATATTGAGAAAAGTGAAGAAGTTACTTTGGAAGTTTTCTCCATATTCACCTCAAAACGTCAGTTGCCTCATGTCATGAGCATGAAACGTAATTCGTTCTTAGTAAATAAGTGCTTGCATGTTTTTTATGTTCTTCTTCTAACAAATAATATCACTATGCGTCAAGGAAATTATCGCTGCAGGTAACGTGGCCGCATTTCTAAACATGAGTTTCATTATAGTAATGTTATTATTATTATTTCATATAGAAATGGCTAGGATATTAAGTTTATATAATGTTATAGAACTACTCATTTATTTTACTCCGTTGCTGTTTTTGGTAGGATGTGAACCATGCAGTTCTGGCAGTGGGATACGGAGTGGAAAATGGAATCCCATATTGGCTCATTAAGAACTCGTGGGGAGAAAATTGGGGTGACCATGGGTACTTCAAAATGGAGATGGGAAAGAATATGTGTGGTAATTAAGAATTGGAGGGAGATGTGCCATACATTTATTCTATCTGTTAAAATTTGCATTTGTTGCTCTTTCTAATTGGATGGAAGATTTGTTTTACCTTTTATCTCATTATTGATTGTTCTGGTTGCAGGTATCGCAACTTGTGCTTCGTACCCAGTCATTGCTTGAGTAGCGAGTGTTAGTCCTATGAATGGCGTTGCTCTTTGGAAGGCATGAGTGCAATCTGTGTGGAGCACATCAATGTCCTTTATGTGCAAATTGTATTCCTCTTCAACTTGTGTGTATATATTTTACTTCGTACATGTATATACCACTTATATACTTATATAGTACATGTATGTCATATTTCAATTAGAAAGAAAACGATGGAAGCCATCCCTGTAAATTCTCATTTTCTTTTGGAATATGCCATAATTTCTTAGCTTTATCTCTATGATTCAGCGTTTTCAGCGTAAATAGAGCACTTTTAACGTAAATACAGTGTACTTTAGTAATTAGGCAATCATCCCTTTATATTTTGGAACCGGCGTCTGAAGACAAGTTTTAGAAATCGGTAGGATCTTTCCAACGTGATATTAAACGCTTTCAATGGAACAAAACAGAGCAAGATATGATCACATCAAATTCTACACGAGTTCGGAATGAAATCAGAAACATTTGTGAATATATGATTAATCTTTAACTTTTAATTAATGCATTGTAAATGAAGTTAGGACAATAGCTTTAGAGCTCCAAATTATATTTCTAACGAGATATAATACGCTCCAAACGGATAAACACACAACAAGATATGAGTGTCACAGATACTTAATCTTATCGATTAGCTTTTTTAGAAACCAGCGAATTAATACGAGCCTTAGAGAAGGAATCGCGTGTTGAGAGAGACTCTCGCTGGGTCGTTCCCAGTTTCACGCGACATGGTTTCATCAATCGATTGAGCAGGTTTTGAGTACGGATTTTGTTGTTTTTCTGGTCGATTTTCCCATCTACGGCTAATCTCGAGCTTAGATTTGAAGTTGGAAGGTTGTTTTTGAGGCCAGAGACCCATAGAAGGGAGAGGAAGACTGCGTGGTTACTGTTCACGCCGCAGGTGTTTTCTTGGTTACTATGTTGATTTCTATGTTGCTTTGTTGCTCCTGGGTCGAAATTCTCATAATACCATTTCCGAGCTTCGTTTTGGGTTTAGAAAGAAATACGCCGGTCAAAAACTAAAGTACGAGAGTTTGAATCGTTGTTTGTTACTGTATTCTGTGCTGTTTCTGTCGTTGTTAGCGTTTTGAGTTCCAAGAAGTTTTCTGGTTGTTTCTGCTATTTCTGGATTTAGTTGGGCAAACTTTCTAATTTGGGTTGTCTGCTATTTCTGGATTTAGCTGGGCGATCACACGGGTGTTCGCTGGTTGCTGTTACGAATACTGGTTTTCGCAGATGGCTCTGGGTTCCATTTTCTGTTTTTGAGTTCCCAACAATTGAATTTGAGTTTTCCGCACATTTGCAATGGGGAGAAACAAAATGAATCGTGATTTCAGGCTTACCAGGTCAAAGGCTGCAAACTTTGACATCCTGGCAGATTGTGATGAAGAATTCCCTACTTTGGGAAACTCTTTGGCTTGTCCTGGGAGCACTAAAAGTGCTGGACCTGCTGCAATATTGACCCCAACACCTGCTAAGGTTACTGGGAAAAATGCTACCAGTTTGATGGAAAACCAACTGCCTAAGCAAACTGAAATCTCTGGGAAGAAGGTGAACCAGGCAGTAGGGGTGATTTCCTCTTCACATGAAACTGAGCACCAAACTGTTAAAGAACTGGGAGCTAGGCCTCGGAGTAATCTGTTTAAGGACAATAGGAATCCTGCACATGGAATCAAGCTGAGATATATTCCGCCAAAAGGTAATGAGTTGGACTTTTCTGATAATGTTTTGCCATACATGGTTGATATGTGGGGTCATTGCCTTGTTGGGTGCTTCACAGATAGATTCCCCGGTCTTAAAGCTATTCATGAATTGAGATCAAAATGGAATGTCAACTGTCTGATAAGAACCCACGATAAGGTCTGGGTTACCTTCAAATTTCAAAATGAATTGGATAGGACTAAGGTGCTAAATGAAGGGCCATATACCGTGTTTGGAAAACAACTAATCCTAAAGGTACTTTCTGATGACTTCTCATTTGAGGATGAGGAGTTTCTCAAAGTGTACCTATTTGGGTTAAATTTCCTAAACTACCTTGGAAATTATGGAATGATGAGGCCATGAGTGAAGTAGCATCGATGGCTGGTATTCCGCTGACTACAGATAAGGTAACCCAAGAAAAGATGAATCACAACTTTACTAGAGTCCTAATTGAGGTAGATATTTCGAAACCACCACAACTTTCATTTCCTATACGTTTATCTTCCCGTAAGATATTCCAACAAGAGGTGGTATACGAAACATTCCCCAATTATTGTTTCCATTGCAAGACATACGGGCACCACCCGTTCATCTGCAAAAACTGATCCCACCTAAAGATGACAAATCTGCCCAACAAGATATTGGGAAAACAATTTCTACTGCCCAGGAAGCACCTCTGCTGGAACCTGCCGCTGTGTTGGACGCTGGAACTGCGTTGGAAGTTGCTGATTTGGATGCTACTGCGGTTGTAGCTACTGCTGCGTTTGAAAGACCCGCAGTTCTTGCTCCACAAGCTGCTACTGCGCTGGAAGTACCCCTCCCGCTGCAACCTGAAACTGATTTTCATGTGGATACTATTGTAAGGGTGGAGAAAAGTGAGGACATGCGGGCTGCACCAGTACAGGTCGAACCGGTTGTGCCGGAGTCTACTCCCGAGCCTACCACGCCATTGCTTGCTGCCAAAGAGAAGAATGTTGCAAAAAGAAAAAAGTTTCGAAGAAGTATTGGATATATTATGGTGGGAGGAAAATATACATCAGGGAAAAAGAAAAAGGATAAAAATTATCGTGACTGGGTTAGAGATGCAAGACTGCATGTTTACATGGAGATTTGTTTAGTTGATTTTGTGCGCTGCTACAGTAGCTATGCCACACAAGGAACACCTGATTTCTGGGTGGTTTGTTGATTTGTGAAGATGCTTTTTGTTAGTCCCTGTTTCTGTAACAGCAATGAATAATCGATCTAACAAGGAAGATTAAACGTAAAGATGAACAAAGAATGAATCACCGTAAAACCTTCTTTGATAAACCGTGGAACGTACAGCAGAATGATATAAGCGTAAGGCTATGAATAATAAGTACGACGTTCAGCCTTTTCCTAAACCTCGGCTCCCTTTTTATAGGCGAGGTTTAGGTTAGGCGTTCCAGGCTTTTGGCCTGTTTAAATGGGCCTAACACTTGGCCTGATTTCTATCTAATTTATGCACTATTTAAATACAAGGATTAAATATAAAGCTAATCTATGACCAACTTGATTCACAATTAAATATCTCCAACAATCTCACCCTTTGTGATCAAGTGCCATTCTCTTATTGCTTCTGTGATTTGAAGTAGTGTTTTCTCAATCCAAGTGCATGTTCATACTGTCTTAGCATATTTCTCTTTTCGAGGCGATCGTCAATGGCCTTTAAAATTGTCTCTACAGTAGAGTGTTCCTTTTGAACATAAGACGATGCCTCTTGAAGATTTTCTTCCAGCTTTGCCTTCATCTGTAGAATCTGCTCTCTGATTATCTTCAGTGTTCCGTCACAGTACTTCTCGATTTCACTGACTACCATCAGACGCTTTTCGTTCTTGTGGTTCAGATAGGTGACTGCTGGCGGTTTGAAGAAGATGTGGTAGGCTGGGAAATCTTCAAGTTCTGGACCATACAGTTTTGGCTTTGTCAGATTTGTCTTCTTCAGATTGCATTCAATAGCCATCTGTAGGTCATGTGAAGAGTGTACTCTGATCTGTCTAAGCATGAATCTCTTGATAGCTGCGAGGCCTTCGCTGTATACTATGTTCTGCCTGACTGGAAGGTATCTGTAGGCCATGAGCATTTGGTAGATGTCATCCGATTTCAGCATGATGAAGTCGTTCTCTTGACAAGTGAATTCGCTCCCATCGGTGCGTTGAAGTCTGAAGGTGTAGAATGTTACTCCATGATAGTCTTCAGCCTTCACTTGTAGAATTTGATGGATCGGGAGAATATTCGACTTCAGATCTTGTTCCATCAGTTCTCTCTGTGTACCGGTTGACCTTTGCAGCAACATATGCAGATGACCTCCAGCCTGCTTTCCTTTCAAGTGAGTAAGGCCTCTTAGCTTCAGTTCGTTCAGTGGCTTGACTTTGTCTGGTCTACGCCAGATATGTTCTCTGATTTCTTCTTGGAAGGGGGCTTTGATTCGAACGTTGTCCCAGGGTTTCTCTGTCTTGGGAAGTCTTCCCGCTGATTGTCTTACGACTGATTCAAGAGCTTTCTGGGATTCCTTGTAGTTCTCCCCTTCCTTGCGTTCATCGTCCTCGAGCCGTATAATATCTTCAGAGCATTTGTTAATCAGCTCTCGTAGCCACCAGTTTCTTTGCATGTCTTCTTGCTCGGCTTCAACCCGGAGATCATCCCATTCTGTCCATTTTCTCGGCCATTTGTCGTATATCACCGCCTCCTCCAGTGCATCATGGATGTCTTTGCCTGGGGGGATGTATGGAACTCTTTGCTGCTTTTGAGGCGGTGATTGTTCCTTGGTAGCTCTGCCGGGTTCACTTGGATTGCCCGTTGACATCAGCTTAGAACTAGGTTCCAACTGATGGCCTGATGTGAAGGATGTACCAGTGGTAGCATCATCAGGACTTCCATCCCCTCCTCGAACAGTATCTCTGGGAGATATGCCTCGGGATGTTTTGTCTAGCTCGACCACGCTAGAGAGATAGGCTTGGTTTTGGCAAGGGGATGGTGGTGGTTGGTTGATGATAGTCTCAGGTTGTTCGGTTTGGGGGCTATGAGTGGTAGAGGCACCTTGCTCGAGTATCCGTGGCCTCTTGTTCTCCCCCTCATGAGGTTCCGGATCATCGGGATCCTCATGTGAACGTTTGCGACCACGGGGACTTTCACGGCAGGTGCCCTTGGTGTCCGGATTAGCGAGAAGGGCAGTAAGGACGCCTTGCTGGTAGGGAGTGAGGTCAGTGTGCGGTATGTTTAGGAGATGATCCAGCAAGATCGATACCAGGACTTCGAAGGGTTGGGATAGTAGTTCGATGGGAGGTGTGGTCGGGTGTGGGGATGATACTTGTTCTGTATCATGGGTTCCCCGAGAAGAGATAGGGCTATGGACTTTGGTGGAGGTGGCGGATATGACTGGAGAGGTTTGAGTTTTGGTGTGAGAAGGTGATGGGTGTGGTTCAGGCTGGCTGTGTTAACTATGCACTGCCGGGGTGGTCTTGGATTCTTGTGCCCAAGCGGTAAATGCTTGTTGCACCCATGGCTTAATGGTGGAATCCAAGAAACGGTGCATAAGAACGGTGACGTCTTCGGTAGTGAGGTGTTCAGTTACAGGGGTTGTAACTGTTGTCACAGCATCAGTGAAGAGAGCTGATGTGTGGCCTGCATTCAATGATGGAGTCATTGTGAGCGTAGCAGGGCTTCCGATCGTCATCGTTGGTACTCTGGTCGTTGCTTCCAGGGTGCGTGCACCTGTATGTGCAGTGAATAGTGTAGGTGTCCTAGAAAAATTAGAAAATGTAGGGAGTGTGACACCTAGACTCGATGTGCTCAAGGAAGTGGTGGTGACCTCGGGCTGTTGGCCACTAGTTCGCTCGACTGGTTCGGAGGGAACCAGAGAGGTGGGTGAGTCCCGCTGTTTTGAAACAATAGCCTGTTGGGAGGCTATCGAGTGGCTGGGAGAAGGCTGTGCTTGCGCAGTTGAGCCAGATGCTGCGACTTCTACCCGGGAACCGAAAATATCGGCTCCTGCACTTAAAGATTCAGCTCGGCTTATATTAATGAAGGGTTGACAATCAGCGAAGATATGCATTTCGTCCTCGTCTACAAGGTGTCTTTTGACGAGGCGTCGCTTCTTGGAGTTGAGTGACTGTGGAGCATCATTTTTCGCTTTGATGCGCTGCTCCCTGATGATGCCAGTAGCACTTTCTATTTTGTGACTGGCAGCCGTGGTTTTGATGACGAGCTCTTTGGGGCGTGTAGCAATAATGGGAGCTGCATCCTCAGCGGTGATTTTCTTCGGAGGAGATTCAATAGGCAGTTTACTCTTTTTGATGAGAGCGAAAGTGTGGTCCACATCGTCAACATCATCGTCATCATCATCATCATCGTTGTCACTTCTGGCCACGCTATCGGAAGCCTCTTCGTCAGCCTCTTTGTTGGCCGAGCTGAGCGAGTCATCAGCAGATTGCTCAGCGTTCGTCGGTTTGCCCTCAGTTGTCCGAGTCCTCTCGAGAGATTTATCGGACTCTCCTTCATCGGGCCGACGTGCCACTGGCCTTTGTGGCTTTGGGGCGCTCTTGGGACCCTTACTTACTCTCGGTTTAGTCCCCTGGGTAGGTCCAGATGGGTTTTTCTGAACCATAGGGACTGTTCTCTCAAGGTTTTCTTTGTATGCGATGATGATTGGATTTGACTGATTTGCCAGGTTGAGCAGAGCATCCGGAATCCGCAGTCCCTGAGCTGCTTTCTTATCAGCTTTGAAGTATTGGAGCTTTGGAGCTGTGAAGTGCGGTTCATCAATACGTCTGGGAATGGATGTGTTTGCGGTCATGCAGTCGAGGATGATCAGCCCCAACCACCTGGCGTATGGAATGGTGCCTGACTTGTTTTTCTCTTTGGCTTTTACAAGATCCATCAGCTCTGAGAAAAAGAGCTGAGCCATGTCATACTTCTTGTTATATGCGATGCCGTGGAAGACGCAGAGTATTTGCTTGTTGCATTTGTCCAGTCCGGCATGTTTTGGAGAGAGGCACTTGTTGACTAGCCCGAATAGGCTCTTCCAGGGACGATAAAGGTATGCTCCATTGAAGTTTGACAATTTTGGTAGTAGAGAGTCATAACCCAGAGCCGCGACATCTTTGAGAAGATCCGGAATAGAGGGAAGAGGATCGTAGCTGTCATGTTCGGGGAGCGCCAGTGTAGAGCGTAGAGTTGCTGGAGTCAGGACAATCCTCATGTTGTTGAGCTTTGTGAGGATTTTAGTGCGGTCTTTTGTGGACTCGGTGCGCATATGTCCCCATACTTGTTGGAGGTAGATTTCTGGCACCGACTTTGATTTGTGGAAGGCGGTCCAGAGATAGTGGCGCTTCAGAATCCCGAGGATGACTGGATCCTGACACTTGAAGACAGTCAGATCCAGCTGGAAGTTGTTGTCCAGCACCTTGACCCACCTATCTTGTGGGTAGATGGCGTCGTCAATGTTATGTCTCTTTTGTGTAACTGCCATTATGAGCTGTGGAAAAACATGGGTCAGTGCAAAAGTCCATTTTTATTTTTGGTTTCCTGAAATTAAATGAACTGTCGTTTGGTTTGGTTCTCAAGAGTGGAGTGCAGGTGGTGGTCAAAATCGGCTAAGGCAAAAGCTCGAAAACCGTATCTCGAGGTTTAAATCTCGAGATCTCAATCTCGACATTTAAATCTCGAGATCTCAATCTCGAGTTTTAAATCTCGAGATCTCAATCTCGAGTTTTAAATCTCGAGATCTCAATCTCGAGTTTTAAATCTCGAGATCTCAATCTCGAGTTTTAAATCTCGAGATCTCAATCTCGAGTTTTAATTCTCGAGATCTCAATCTCGAGTTTTAATTCTCGAGATCTCAATCTCGAGTTTTAAATCTCGAGATCTCAATCTCGAGTTTTAAATCTCGAGATCTCAATCTCGAGTTTTAAATCTCGAGATCTCAATCTCGAGTTTTAAATCTCGAGATCTCAATCTCGAGTTTTAAATCTCGAGAACTCAATCTCGAGTTTTAAATCTCGAGATCTCAATCTCGAGTTTTAAATCTCGAGATCTAGATCTCGAGTTTTAAATCTCGAGATCTCGTCGAGAAGTTCAAACGACGTGAGCGAGATCCTGAGGTTTAAAACTGGGGATATCGAGACGTTTTGCCTTTCGACGACCTATGACGAAGCCACCTGCAAACATACAAAGCACAGATATAAAAGAAAAGAGTACACAGTTCCGAGTTCGTCATTCGTGTGCGAGATTTCGCAAGACAGAATCGAGTGTTTCGTTATGTTTTTGTTTTCGAAAACCATGATGAAGTTTGATGAAGACGTTAGACTACCTTATCTCGGAAGGTGAGAAGAGGGAGAAGGATAGAGAGAAAAAAATCCGAGAGCTCTGTGATGTTGGGACGGAAAAGAGAGAATGAAGAGATTCAGGGTTCTCGAGAACCTTTTATACGCGAAAAAATGAGCTTTGCGAAAACTTGGTAGTTTGGGCCGAAAACATAGAGCTGGGCCCAAAAAGAGTTTGGCCCAAACGATTAAAAAATTCTCCTCCTCGTTTTTGTCCCCCTTAATCAGTGAAA